TGGTGTACGCGTGGTACATGCATTGCCCCACCACGGCCACCAACAACAACCCTAGACGTCTACTCTATCCCCACTTCGTTTAGGTAATACAACAAGGAGAGAATATGCATTTCCTTACTGCGATCCAAAAAAAGAAAAGAGAAAACACTGTTTCGCTTCTTGACGGCCTCAGACCCATTATGGATGCAGTTCCGCGGCAGGCGCCGCTCTCGATGAGATATATATCAGTAGAGGTCTCTCACGCCACCGGGAGGAGGCGTGGGACTCGGGGTCACCGTGCCCCCAGCCTTATTGAGAGAGGAGCCAGAGAGGAACGAAATAAGGAGGGAAGGTAAAAAAAGAAAAAGCCGGAACCCGCCTCTATTCCCAGGCGGCCGGCTACCATTCCCTGTAAGAAAGAAACGAACAAACAGCTTTCTGCGGAACAACGACAAAGAGAATATACGGCTCTCTGTCTTACACTCGCTCCACAGGGTCCTGACAGTCGGGAAAGAAAGACACGCGATTGCTTCTGGTTTGCTACGGGTAAACAAAAGCAAGGAACACCCACTTAAACGAGGCTCGCCTCACCACATCATTGGGGTCAGCTAGACACTAAAAACCGTCCGTCATCCGCGCAGCGGAATACCCATTAGGTCACACACGCCGTTCACCCCGCTCCCCTCTCAAGCGTCAGGCNCTAAAAACCGTCCGTCATCCGCGCAGCGGAATACCCATTAGGTCACACACGCCGTTCACCCCGCTCCCCTCTCAAGCGTCAGGCGCGCCCAAACAAGATCAACAGTTCCTGCGCCATGCGGTCGATACAAAACGAAAAACAAATTTACGTATATTTTGCCAAAGGGAAAAAAAAAGAAAGTGGCTGCACCAATGGCGTTTGGGCAGCGCCGCAACACACCGGGCGGCCCATCAGGCAAGAGACACAGCAGTTCACCGCACCACATCGCTCTCGTTCAGACTGCGTGACTGCCCACCATGACACGTGCCCCTCCCGCCACACATGTGGAGCGGCAGCCCTCCCACCGCGCGCCGCCAAGGTGCACCACCCGCAGACTACACAGACCCCAGAAAAAAAGAGTATTCCTACAAGTGCCCAGCGAGCGGGGCCCCCTCTGGACTTGCCGCACCACGAGCCACATCGGTTTGATTCCCATTCAGAAGCGGAGCAGCTGCGCCGTTCAAGTCAGTGGGCCCGCGCACCTTAACAGAGATGTCTCTTCCAGGCCTGAAAGGCGGAAGCCTGCGCACTCTGGGTGCTCCATCGCCTCCTACTCCGGGTTTGCGCGCATTGCGCAACTGTCTGACAATTTCTGCCGGCGTCAAGCGCCCCCCCTGGCGACTTCATAACGTTCTAGCTCTAACGTACCGCTAAACGCTGGATCATAGAATGGGTTGTCCGGCAATGTCACGTCCGAAAAGAAAACCTTCGGCGTATCATCTGACGGAAGAAGGATATGGCCACGCGTGAGATTATGACGTGTACCCACCTCCATGCAACGAAAAACTTTCACACGTCATGACATCTAAATAGTCCTTAAAATACTGAGACTCAGTAGATTCCACGTTGGGAAGTGATGCACTCTCCCCCGCCTGCCCATGCGCCATGGGGTTATCCACCTGCCCCAGCGAGTGCAGCAAAGGATACCCACCGGCACTCCTTGAGTTCCCGTCTTCATCTTCACGAGCTGTCACACGGGAATTTCCCACGGGGTAGCTTCTCCTCTTCGTCGCATGCCCCAACACAGAGGCTGAAGGGTAATCGCCGTTCCTACTCGCACTCGGCCTCCGTCGCCAGTAGCAGAAGTAGAACACGGCAACACCAACAATCAAGAAAGCGATGCCGGCAATGACAATCCCGGCAATGACTCCAGCAGACATTTTTTTCTCTCCTTTCCTTTCTGACGCATCCTGCATCTGTGTGTAGGTGCGTCCTCCGATT